CTCCTCCTCCTCCTCCTCCTCCTCCTCCTCCTGCCACACTCCCTTCTAGCACTGATGATGTTACCTAGTTGGGTAATGAAACGTCTGCAAGAAAACAACCAAGCTCAGAGAGCACCCAGGATCCCACAGGACTGAGTGTCTTCTCCAAATTCTCCCTTAACCATGTACTCATGGTTTGTGGTTCACCATAGGGAGGAGGGAGGCCATGATACAACTGGACAGACCACCACACTGCCACTCATGTCTGTTCAGGGCACCAATCGCTCCTCCCACTTACTGACTACAATGAGGAGCAGCTGAAACAGGAAGTTAATTCTCGAGCGCCATCAAACGGCGCTGGATACACCGCAGAAATAGCTGGGGAAACCATTATAAATCACACAACTTACAGTGGTTGGGAAATAACGGCTGGCCTTGAATTTCTTCAAAGCCATGGAGCAGGTGTAGGTTCCCAAAAAGAGAATGCAAGACATGAGGGTGATGTCAGGGACGTATTTGCAATTATTCCCCACCAGCATTCCTCCAAATTTCATACATTGCTCCTTGGTGAGGGATGACCATTCGGTTGTTCCGTTGTGCTGTAAACACAAAAGGGAAAAAAAATGGCACTTTTAGAGGAAAGATTCTTGCCTTCTCGCTCAATGCTAGATGCTGTTCAACTTGGCAGGATGTCGTGTTTACGTTTATATGCAGTCCTCGACTTACAACAATTCGTTTAGTGACCATTCCACAGCATTGAAAAAAGTGACTTACGATCGGTTTCCACGCTTACGGCCGTTGCAGCATCCCCATGGTCATGTGATCAAAATTCAGAGGCTTGGCAACTGGCATGTACTTATGACTGTTGCAGTGTCCCCGGGTCATGTGATCCCCTTTTGTGACCTTCGGACCAGCAAAGTCAATGGGGGAGCCAGATCCACTTAACCACCGGGTTACTAGCTTATCAACTGCAGTGATTCACTTAACAACTATGGCAAGAAAGGTCATAAAATGGGGCAAAACTCACTTAACGAATGACTCACTGAACAACCAGAAATTGTGGGCTCCATTGTGATCAAAAGTCAAGGGTTACCAGTATGTACATGTTATTTCTGCTTGCAAATTACAAAGAGGTTCTTGTGGTTTATATACACCAGGGGTAGGCAACCTTGGCTCTTTTATGACTCGTGGACTTCAACTCCCAGAATCCCTAAGCCAGCATGGCTCAGCTTGGAAACCTCTCCCTTTCCCCTCAGCATGGCTGGCTCAGGAATTCTGGGAGTTGAAGTCCACGAGTCATAAAAGAGCCAAGGTTGCCTACCCCTGATATACACAGATACTTGAATGCATGAAATGCTCAAGTAAGTTATGGGGAACACGATGATGAATATGTAGTACAAGCTCCAACATTTAGCTAATTAATCAAGCCAATTAACCAAATAAGAGTTGGGTTTTGTATAACCAACTCTTTAGTCAGGTAAGTTCCATTTCATGGGAACTACCAACTTGAGGGCTAATTGTCCCTTCAATCAAAATGAAATCCTAGAGGACCTGTGAAAAGGTTGAGTTGTTTCAAGGATCATTTTTCATGTCTCAAGATGATTAAGGGCCTGCAGACTAAAACATACAAAGAACAGTTGCAGAAATTGGCTATGGCCAGTCTAGAGAAAAGAAGGACTAGGGGGGGACATGACAGCAGTATTCCAGTATCTGAGGGGCTGCCACAAAGAAGAGGAAGTCAAGCTATTCTCCAAAGCATCTGAAGGCAGGACAAGAAACAATGAATGGAAACTAATCAAGGAGAGAAACAACTTGGAATTAAGGAGAAACTTCCTAACAGTGAGAACAGTTAACCAGTGGAACAGCTTGCCTTCAGAAGTTGTGAGTGTTTCATCAATGGAGGTTTTAAGAAGACACTGGACACCCCCTTGCCTGAAATGGTATATATAGGGTCTCCTGCTTGAGCAGGGGGTTAGACTAGAAGACCTCCAAGGTCCCTTCCAGCTCTATTCTGAATTGAATTCACTGGACTGGCTTTATCAACCAAACAGGACTATAGTAATTTAGACAAATCTAACAACACAAGTTATATCTTGTAAGGATATTCCATAATCCTGGCACAGGATACCTTCATTGTTGCTGATCCCTGTCATATTTTAATGTGTTTATTTAATTTAGCCTTTCTACTTAAAATTGAGTAGTTATGTGAGTAGTTATGTTTGCATTCTGCTTTAAGAACAGCCGGCTTTTTCAAAAGTTTCTATCAAGGACTCCAACTGAAGGGTTAATGCAAGAGTTTTGGTTCAACTAAGCCAGGGATAGGCAACCTTGGCTCTTTTATGACTCGTGGACTTCAACTCCCAGAATTCCTCAGCCAGCCATGCTGAGGGGAAAGGGAAAGTTTCCAAGCTGAGCCAAGCTGGCTCAGGAATTCTGGGAGTTGAAGTCCACGAGTCATAAAAGAGCCAAGGTTGCCTACCCTTGGCCTAGGAGCTTCACTTTATTACTTGGCTCTTTTATGACTCGTGGACTACAACTCCCAGAATTCCTGAGCCAGCATGGCCCAGCTTGGAAACCTCTCCCTTTCCCCTCAGCAAGGCTGCCTCAGGAATTCTTGGAGTTGAAGTCCAGGAGTCATAAAAGAGCCAAGGTTGCCTACCTCTGGCCTAGGCCTAAGCCGCTTTATGACTCGTGGACTTCCAACTCCCAGAATTCCTGAGCCAGCATGGCCCAGCTTGGAAACCTCTCCCTTTCCCCTCAGCATGGCTGGCTCAGGAATTCTGGGAGTTGAAGTTCACGAGTCATAAAAGAGCCAAGGTTGCCTACCCCTGACACTAAGCTAAACAACGTCCAACAGCTCAGAATCCATTTATTCTCACCAGTTGAGTACCTACCTTAACCTTCTCAATGCATAGACATTCCTCCCCTGAGTTACAGCTTATTCAACTGGGAGGAATTGTTATTAGCCTAAAAGTGATAAAAGCCTTCCGCAAGTTCTTTGCATCAGACCGCCATTTTCACAGCTATCTTCTCAACAGCATAACTGTAAAACCCAGAGGGAGCAAAAGTACTTATAGTTTTCACTTGACAAAGTTCTCCTTTTTCCACTCGGAAGTGAGAAGAGCATCGGCTGTGATCCATGTGCTGTTGCACTGCTGATTTTATAGAAACACAGGGCTATGTTTTACACACACACACCCTTTAATTAAGTTTCCGAGCTACAAATAGCTCCCGACTCACAACAATTCATTTAGTGATCATTCAAAGTTACAACAGCAATGAAAAAAAGTGACTTAGGATGCATTTTTTTCACACCTACAACCGTTGCAGCGTCCCCCTGATCACGTGGTCAAAAAATTCAGACATTTGGCAACTGACTCGTATTTATGACACTTGCCGTGTCCCAGGGTCATGTGTCCACCTGTTGCGACCTTCTGACAAACAAAGTCAATGGGGAAGCCAGATTCACTTAATAACTGTGTTACTAACCTAGAACTATAAGGAGAAACTTCCTGACAGTTAGAACAATTAACCAGTGGAACAGCCTGCCTCCAGAAGCGATGAATGCTCCAACACTGGAGGTTTTTAAGAAGAGACTGGGCAGCCATTTGTCCGAAATGGTATAGGGTTTCCTGCCTGAGCAGGGGGTTGGACTTGATGACCTCCAAGGTCCCTTCCAAAATCATCATCATCATCATCATCATCATCATCATCATCATCATCATCATCATCATCATCATCATCATTATTATTATTATTGTTACTACCACTACTACTACTACTACTACTACTACTACTACTACTACTACGTTCAGACTGGGTTTGGCGTTTTTGTCCATCTATCGAGTCCCTTCCAGGATCTGAGTTAGGCAGATGTTGTTTAATGATGTTAAAAATATTGTCTTAGGATGTAGGCTGTTCAAACTAACACTGCCTTTTGCGGTTGATTTGGATCCTGAGGGGTTTATGTAGGCTGGTTGTAAGTCAGTGTGTCTGTTGATGGAATTGCTTGTGGGGTGCCAGACTTCGATGAACTTGTGAGCGTGACGGGTGTGGTAGCGTGGCCAACGATTCTTGTATTACTCCAATCAAACTCATACTGTTCGGTGTCAGTATGGATAGAGATTAGGGAGAGTAAAGTTATACTCTTGGTAAAATGATGTCCCAGGAGTGTCTTTTGCTGCATTTACCAACAGGATGGTTGACAGCTATGAGGGAAAAGTTAAACTATTATGCCTACCAACCTAGAAATAAATCCCAAAGACGCAGTGGGATCCACTGCTGAATAAACACGTACACAGCCGAGCTGTGTGCAAAAACGTTGACTTTGTACTGTGATTTTGTTTAAAATACAGTAACCCTATGAAACAGGTGCTAATTCAACTCTGAAATTAAGGCAAAAGAAAACAAGAATGAGAATGCATAAAAAGTAAGCAGGAGTAGTTGCACTGTGCATAACTATTTCAAGTATTATAACCTTATTTCGGCTTACCGGTTCCATAAGCCAAGCCGGCGATGACGTGACTGTCTCATTGATTAACGAACTATTCTCTGAAAGAAGAAAAGAAATGAAACACTTTCAACATAACCCTGTAAAAACTAATGAGGGAGAGAGTTGCAATTAAAATGAATCTCGCAATCCCTCCCTAAAATTAAAACCCGGTTAAGCTTTATAATCCTCTTAGGCTGCAAGTAATCAGCAGCTTCAATAATGATCCCGAATTATATACAGTAAAAAGAAGTTATTATTCCATAACTTGTGGATCTTACCATTTTCACCGTGGGAAAATCTTTTTTTTAAAAAAAACCCCAATTGCCTCAAATTACGTTGATGCATGAATGACAATTGGGTTACAATACTTCCCCCAGTGCAAATTCGTCATTAAAATTCTCACATCATCCCCGGAGATCAAAGTGCGTTTTTTATCTACGCTGAAAAGCTGCACTGTTCAACGTTGTGCTGTGTTATCCTTTCCTGATATGTGGATTAAATAGGGTGAACAAATGGATCAGCTTCCAGTTAAAAAAAATGGGGTGGCATTTCCTTTTTCTCTTGAGTTCAAAAGTCTTTTGCCCCACAAGAATTTCAGAAAAGATTGGACCATAGGCTGCAGCATTGTGGACTTCAGCTCCCAGAATTCCTCAGCCCCACAAGAGTTTCAGAAAAGACTGAACAGTAAACGGCAGCATTGTGGACCACAAACTGCAGTGTTGTGGACTTCAGCTCCCAGAATTCCTCAGCCAGCTATGCTGGCTGAAGAATTCTGGGAGCTGAAAGTCCACAAGTCTTAAAAGTTGTCGCGGTTGCAGACCCCTGTTATAGAGAAAGCAAAAGCACTTTTCATTATTTATTCCAATTGTGGGGAAACTATTTTCTTTCTTTCTTTTTTTAACAACACTCCATCTTAGGTCTATGCATATGATGGGGTATTTTTTTTTCTCAAGATATCAATGACTGGGTAATTACATAGTAGCTGGAAATTTTGGACACTGCACTCTAGTGGCACCCAAAATGTATTTGATTGGGAAGGACAATTTTAGAACAGACCCCAAAATCTTACAATTTACAGTACATGCTGCAGTAATAGCAGCGGCACTTTAAATTGTGCTTATTTCATTTACCAACATACATACTCAACAAGCTACATTCTCTGTTGTGGTAAGCAACGTTATGAGGTTATGCTAAAAAGTAGGGGAAAAAATAGGGTAGGATAGGGTGGGATGGGATGGGATAGGACAGTGATGGCGAACCTTTTTAGAGACCGAGTGCCCAAAAACTGCCCACCTCCACCCCCGTCCCCACTCCGCCCTGTCCACTGGGCCACCCACCCCCTCCACGGCCCACCACA